TTTCTGCCCCAGTCCCTTTGTGTATTTCTTTCTCCCACCAACCCCTATGTGTATATCCTTCTCCCCCCAGCCCCTCTGTGGTTTATTTTCATCCCAGCCTGTCTGTGTGTCTCAGGCTCCCTTTAGTCCATCTGTTTGTCTCTTCCTTCCCCTAGCTCCTCTGTGTGTCTCCCCCACTTTTTTTAAACCATAGCATGGGTTAGATCCAATAGGACCAATGACCAAAAAACAGCCATGGTCTGCATCAGCGCTGCGCTGTTCCTGGTCTGTAATTTAAAGACATAACCCATGCTAGGGTTTAAAAAAAAAATGAGGGTCAACTGCTAATGGTACCTGCAGTTGTGCAGGGGGAAGTCTGAAATACAATGCCTGTCTGTACTCAGTTGCATGTTATTATTATTATTATTATTATGTTATTATTTATTATTTATAAAGTGCCAACAAATTCTGCATGTGAAGTAGGGAATTCTGGGATAGTTGAGGAAACAAGTTTTTGTGCCGAAGGTGGACTACATATAAATATATAAATCACAAAGTAATGAAGCAATAATCCCCTTTTTAACTAGCCTAATCTTACCAACCTCGCTATTATTTCATCTGACCAATTAACCCTTGAAGGACCATCAGTCAGTTTAATTAAGGTATTTTTAGAATGAATGGCATAGTAGAATTAATAACTGGAATAAGATAGGACAATACACACCCTGATGAAATGGAAAAAGTCTCATATTCGAGATGATTGATTTAAAGGGGAAATATCCCTTTTAGTGTGTACTAAGTGCAAACTCTCCTGATACCATAGGTATTGGAGATCAAAAATAACGTTTTAAAAGTCTTTATTGTTTGAGACCTTCAAAGAGTTTTCGGTATTACAAGGCTATTACTGGTTTTGATGGGACTTAGCTTTTTTCTTTTACTTCTTTTTTTTTTTAATGCAGTTTTCTTTTCTGTGATTTCTTTCAAGCCTCAGAGCCAAAATCCTATATCTTACAATTTTTCTTATTTCCCACAAGGACAGCTCTAATTTTATTGCTCGGTGTGTGATCTTTATCTTTCCTCTAAACACCTGCAGGCATTAACCCATTTGATCTGTTCTGCTCTCTCGGCCTCACAACTGGTAAAGGGTTAGATTACATGTATTTTTTTATTTTTTATTATTATGCACTCAAAGGTCTGTTTGGATGTATTATCAGAAATATTTTTCCATTGTGCTTACCTAGTGCTGTGAAGAGCCTACAAAGGTAAAGGAAAACCATAGGAATCTGATCAAAAAGTGATTACAATGTATTTTTTGTTCAAGCCACGAAGATATAAATAATGACCATGCCTTATATATAATGGTGGGACAAATAACACATTTACATTTCTGCTTTCTGAAAAACAAAGTATACAAACATTTTTTAAATACACTATAAACATGTGTCTAATAAATTGACATGTCTGTTACATTCCTAAATGGAGACGTAAAAACTTATATAGCAACATTTTTGTTTTAGTAAGGCAGACAGAGTAAACCAAAACATTTTCATTTGAACTATTTTAAAATATGTTTACTTTAAACATTAGTGATTGCATAGGTGCCGAAATGAATTCTCAATAAAGTTTAATTCTCTCTGAGGTAGCCAAAATGGATACAATGTAGTGGTGCTTCTTGCTATGGCAATAGGTTGATATGACATCTTCCTTATTTCTGAGCTTAAATGGACATTATAGTCACCAAAACAACGTTAGCTTAATGAAGCAGTTCTGGTGTATAGATTATGCCCTCACTGCTCAGTTCTCTGTCATTTAGGAGTTAAATCACTGTATTTATGCAGCTGTAGCCACACCTCCCTGCATGTGACCTAAACAGCCTTCCTAAACACTTCCTGTAGACTCATCTAATGTTTACACTTCCTTTATTGCAAATTCTGTTTAATTTAGAATTTCTTATCTACTGATCTGTTAATAGCTTGCTAGACCCTGCAGAAGCCTTGTGTGTGTGATTAAAGTTCAATTTACAGAGCAGGAGATACAAACTTTTAAAGTAGGTTACAACTGATTGAAAATGCATGTTGTGTCAGTCACAGCCAGGGGAGGTGTGTCTATGGCTGCATAAACAAAAACAAAAGTAATTTAACTCCTAAGTGGCAGAGAATTAAGCAGTGAAATTTCAGTGGCATGATCTGTATACAAAAATTATTTCATCAAGCTAAAGTTGTTTTGGTGACCATAGTGTTCCTTTAAAGGTATTGTAAACTTGACAATTTAAATGGTTACTCCAACCTTGGACCTCAAAGAGGGAATGTGTGGCACTGGAGAAGGCGGGGGGAAACCATACCCGGTGCTAGGTAAAGCATACTTTTATTTTACACATTTTCCATAAACAATAAGGGGTTGACCAGTGGCAATTGGCCAATAGGGCATTAGAAATGAAAATAAGAAAATATAGATAAAGGATTGGAGTAAAATATTTTTAAATTATAATATATTTAAGTTTAATATAAACAAACTTTTTTTCACAGTACTTTTATGCCTCGTCTTTCAGCTTGGTTCTGGAGCGCGACAACACCTGGCTCGACATCAGTAGTCCAAACCCTGAAAAAGTTAAATGAATTACGGATATATAACTTGCACTGGAACATTTTCAATACAACAGTTATTTTCCTACATTATATATTTAAATAATCAACAGGATTAATTTAATGAAGGTTTAGAAACAAAATTACAGGAGAAATAGTCAAGGAGACATGTGAATGTGTTCTGCACCCACACACCGTGCCACAATTAGAAGAACAGTAGTGAATGGATTATAACATTGCATTAGCAATTAATTAGCAAACATCTGAAAATAGAAGCAAAGTAACCCAGTTACCCAATTATGTATTATGTATGTAGAAACAACATATAGCACAGTGCATGTTTATAATTAGTTCCTCAAAATGGAAAATAAAATATGAAACATGGGATTTCATTAGATGAGATCACTTAAAATCAAACATGCATGTTTTTTAAAGGTTGCTTTGAGAACCACAAGACATCATCTTACTGAAATTGTTATGGTGCAAAGAACCAATCGCTGCATTGTTTCTTTATCAAAAAATGTCTCTAGACCCAGGGTCAAAAGTTAGAAAAAAACAAAAAAACAGCCACTCTATTGGGAATTTATATCTCGCTAAATGGAGTATAAGATATTATCCCTGCTGGACTAAAACTCCCATCATGGTCACTGAGATTCTAGCCAAGGCTAGTAGGAGTTAAAAAATAAACCTGATATAATGAGAAAGTAAGGCTTCCACTTGCTAAATAGCTTTATAAAGCAAGCCACCATTTTAATGGACATATAAAAATGAATACAGTAAACGCCCCATATTTGTCGTTTCAATTAGTGTGGGTTCACTTAAAGGATCAGAAAAAAATTGTAATTTAAATTGTGTGCTGTTCTGAGTAACATGATGAAATCTTGTCCAGTTTGGCCCAAGACGTTAATCATATCTTTGTCCAGTGTATGCACGCTATATACGCAGAGCTTGTGTTCAAATAACCCTTATTTCGCTTAATAATGACCGCAAGCACAAGACTACGCAGTGATGCTGGCAAATCAGATGTATGTACAGTATATAGTGTGTATTTCCTACCACCTGTGGTTTCAGGCATTCTCTGGGGTGCTTTGGACCTATCCCCCACAATTAAGGGGGTTCTACTGTACTTAAAAACAGACCTTAAACTAAAACACCCCTAAAATATGATTTTATTTATTTAATTTGAATCTCTAAATATACACCCAATTCCCTTAGAAACTCTGGGAGATCTGTCCTCAATACTTCACAGTGAGAAGCATTTGATTGGACAATATCCAACACTAACAAGTTAAGAAATGCTGGGGCAAAACGGGGTGGATATTCATTAGCCACAGAGGCCAGTTCAGCAGCTAATGAAAGTTTTCAGGGCTTAGAAAATATTTGTGCAATTTTTTTGGCAAATGCATATTTTTTATATATTAAAACAAAAAGACTATGCATTTTTGGACAAGGAGTTTCATTAAAAAAAAAAACAATAAAGATAATAGTAATTGCATCAAATTAATGGAAGAAAAAATGTGTTGTGCATTATATATTTACTTTGTCAAATGGGAATATGATAATAATTACATCCCATTTAGTTCACCACCTGCAAAGCTTACTTGTTAATGAAAGCCATTGCTGCAAAGTCAATCAAGAAAATAGAAATGTTAATTTATATGATATAACCAAATGAGTGTATAACTAAATGCAGATTGAATTTCAAGATCATTTGAATGCTAAATAACAATCTCCAGGACTGAGGGTTAGATAGGGCAAGCTATACGCATAACAAAGCAAAGGCTGTTTATTTAGAACCGTAATGATTGTTGGGGCTTATTCAATAAATACCAATTTGTAATAAATTGAGAACAGAATTGCAAAATTTAGGCTAGTGTAGTCAAACAGTGATTATAGCTGAACTGTAGAAATTTCCAAATCAGCTATGGTAACCCCATTTTTTCCCATTTGCCACTCAGCTTTCATTCAATTTGCACCTAGATTCACTAACGGCGAATGGTTGTAAAATTGCCATCACAACAAATTTACACAAAGTCATACTCAAATTAAATTGTGGGATCCAAGACGATGTTTGTGGAAAGCCCTCTTTTTCAGCAGCAGTTTAATTAAGAGTAACACTCCCATAATAATTTAATCTCATTTAAGTTGTTATGGTAGCAGGAGAGTCCATGTGCCTTTTTACCTTCTCGGATTAAACGTTTCATCATAGTTTAACCCACAAAGTTGGGGCTCTCGCGGCTGGCACCACCACCCCTTAGATTCCTTCCTCTCTACTCGGTAGTATGAAGAACGTTTAACCAAGCAGACGCTGATAGGCTGAAAGCATCATGCCTCCCTAAATATAGCAAAACCTTACTTGTATTCAATCTGGAGCTGCTAGCTCTGGCTCTGTTTCCTTTAGACCTGCTCACTGCCTGCTGACAACATCAGAAGTGGTAGCCTGATCCAATCACAATGCTTCACCATAGGATTGGCTGAGACTGACAAAGAGGCAGATCAGGGGCAGAGCCAGCATGATTCAAACACAGCCCTGGCCAATCAGCATCTCCTCATAGAGATGAATTGAATCAATGAATCTCTATGAGGAAAGTTCAGTGTCTGCATGCAGAGGGAGGAGACACTGAATGTTTGGATGCATTTTAGGCAGCCATGACCCAGGAAGGATCTCTAACGGCCATCTGAGGAGTGGCCAGTGAAGTTATCACTAGGCTGTAATGTAAACACTGCATTTTCTCTGAAAAGACAGTGTTTACAGCAAAAAGCCTGAAGGGAATGATTTTACTCACCAGAACAAATTCAATAAGCTGTAGTTGTTCTGGTGACTATAGTGTCCCTTTAAATCCGGGACTGTTAGGGGGTACTTGAGGACTTGAATACCCCTGTATTAGGGTAATGGGTGACTTACATGTAGGCTTAGGGATACTTAGATTGACGGAGGACTTGTTGTTGTGGTTTGTGGGAAAGCTTAAAGTCAATGGGTACCTGCACAGTACATAATGTAAAAGCCTGAACAATATAGCTTTTCTAAAACAAAGTTCGATAATTTGAAGAAAACATTTTAAAGTTTATCGCTTTTATTTGTGTACAAACCAGGTTCTAAATATTTCCCTTTATTAGGAAAAGCTTTCAGAAAACCATAATACCTCTACGCGCATCCTAAAAAGCTTCCAGAACAAATTGTTCTGCTACTACAAGGTACCTTACACACAGAGAACAAAGGTCAATGGAGCTATATTAAAGGCTGTTTTTCATGCCTTCCCAAAGTTATTTCTCATTCATGTGATTTTATGAGCAAAGGATATAAAACTGTGTTCTCAAAAGTCATGAACTAACTAAAATAAATATGACTTACGGCCCCCTGGAGTTAATTTATACTCGCTATTCTGCTCACACGAGTGGCTTCCTTTCGCAGACTCCATGGTGTGATGCGGGGCTCAGGAGAAAGTTATTTTCCTGAGACATGAGTCACATTAATGACAAACTGCAGCAATATATTCACTGTGTATGTGTGTGTACAGAATGTTTGACCAACTTTCCTTCTGCTAAACCTGGGTAATTTATTAGGGCTAACGAACAGACAGACGGCTACACACACATAATTACTGATTACTGTTTATAAAACAGAAGAGGGTACTCTGTCTATCAAGGGGGCATATTTGTGTATTTAACGATTTCAGTGCAAAGTCCTTGGACAGATTTATATCTCAGTGTCCCCTCAGTACAAATATTGGAGGCTGAAATAAAAATAAAACAAAATAAAACAAAAGAACAAAACATAAAAAAACAGAATTGGTAAACATATTTTAAAGTTGACACAAGAAAACAAAACAAAAAACTCTGCAGGCACCAAGACGTCTCTTATGTATTTTATAGCTTTTTGGACCAAATAATTAACTTTGTTTTTGCATGACCAAATTTGAATATTTTTACACAATACGAATGTTTATGTTGTAGCATTCTGCTACTTAGCTATATAAATCCTTCCCCACTTACCGCATTATAAAATTCTCTTTTGCATTCCATTTTACCGGCATACAGCTCCTTCTCTGTATCACCCAACCTGCGTGATAAAACAACACATCTGTACAGGACACCCGGAAGCAGAGCAATGATTTCATGGAGTAATAGACAGGCGAATAGCGTAAACGACCGTTCAAGGCACCTACACCACTTCACCTCAATAAAGAAGTCTGGGAGCAACGCCCCTGTCCCCTTGACCCTGCGCTGGTAATTATTGTCAATGAGTAGCATTGGATCAGACTGTTTTAGATGCATTGGTGCTATGTCACGGCAGGATAAGTGGCTGCAGGACACCATCTTGGAACTGAAAAAATACTCCATGCATATGTGCTCAAGCTCTCAATAAGACCTGAGGAGGTAGATAGGGACATGGGGAGAGTAGGCGGGGACACGAGGAGGGTAGGTAGGGATATGAGGAGGGTAGGTAGGGAAACGAGGAAGGTAGGTAGGGACACAAAGAGAGTAGATAGGGACACGTGGAGGGTAGGTAGGGACATGGGGAGAGTAGGCGGGGACACGAGGAGGGTAGGCGGGGACACTGGGAGGGTAGGTAGGGACATGAGGAGGGTAGGTAGGGACACGAGGAAGGTAGGTAGGAACACAGGGAGGGTAGGTAGGGACATGAGGAGGGTTGATAGGGACACAGGGAGGGTAAGTAGGGACATGAGGAGGGTAGGTAGGGACACACAAATTGGTTGAATGAAGAAGTATATAGGGAAAGCACCTCCATTGATCTCAGTCACTGTTATTTGTCAGGTCTCTATGCAACATTAACCTTGTCTGTTGCACCCCCTTCTTCCAAATGTACTAATTTAATCTTCTCAATGTATGTTACAGTTCATTTGTTTAATAACAGCACACTCTTTCCCTTGCCCGGCTTTTATGCAAGTCCCTCACCCGGTGGACACTCCCCTCGTTGACCGAATGGGGGACTGTGACAAGGACAATGCATTAGCCAATCACAGGAGACACATTAACCCATTCCTCTTGCCCAGAACCCCCTGCTCTGCCCGGGAAGATAATTGTGAAGTAATTCAATTATCTCCCAGGACAGAGCCTAAACGCCATTTTGAGAACTAATAACACAAGTACATAAAAATACATAAAATTATATAACTGTTGCATTTTACACGCTTTTGTAGGCATTCCACAGGTCCCCAGATAGCTAGGATCTGAGCGCACCAAAGTACCAAATAGCGCTCAGATCCTATACACACAGTCCAATCGCCGTGGAGCCAAAGTGTTCACACAGTCAGTTTCATACGAATTGGCTCCACGGGATTCCTATCTGGGGTATGGTGTATTCTGTTTAAATCCACCGAATATAGAGTCATTTGTGCCAATCTACCGAACAAGAAGGGAGGTCGGTGGCTTCAGTGGTGTTCGTGCCAAAATGTGTCCGTTTTTAGTTCCATGAGTTAGGTGTCGAACACCGCTGTGCGTTTGTGTGTTTTAAAATGGCCGCAACCTCGTGTTCGGCATTCGAATGGCGGCCACCCAACTGCTGTATCAATTACGAGGTGTCTGCAGTTAATCCTCAACATTCGAATGGGGCCAAGAGGTTAATCAGCAGCACACTCCTCTACTGGGTGGCCGGCCGTTCGGTAGTTTTGTTCGGTTATAAACAGGAGAATGCCATAGAGTTCACAGGAATGAGAAAAAAAATGAATTAAATAAACAAACAAGCCATACAGTTAGTTTAGTCTAAGACAGAGGGATCTGTCACAACAGACATATACACACACTCAAATACACACAGTGACACACACATGCCTTAACACACAGATAAACGCACACTGGCACACAGATACACACACACACACTGAAAGATACACAGGCTGACACAGATAAGACACACCGAGATACACACACTGACACATACACACTGACATAGAGATACACACTGACACACAGATACACGCACACCTACAAACATTGACACTCAGATACACGCAATGACCCACAGATACACATACTGGCACATGCACAAAGATACACACAGTGTAATATACACACTGGCACACACACATGCACACACAAACACACACACCTATACACACACACACACTGACACTCAGATTCACACTGGCGCATACAAAATACACACTAACACAGGTACACACAGTGACATACACACAGATACACAGTGGCACATACACACACTCAGATACACACAATGATACAAACACTGACACACAGATACACACACTCAGATATACACAGTGACACATTAATACACACACTCAGATACACAGAGTGACACACAGACTTCACACAGATACACACACTGCCAAATACACACACATTATTTTTTATATTTGCAGTCACTCTCCTGTTAGCATACCTGTTGTCTGTAGGAGGGTGACCCTTCTGGCTGAGACTGGTGTGTGTAGGAGAAAGGGAATCATTTGTAGCTTATGCCAATTTTATATTGCCTACTAATGTCATCTGGATTTTTACCAATACAGAAAGTGTTATTCATGTATCATTACCACCTCTAACATGAGGTTTATCTCTTAGGTGGTTTTGCTGGGCAAGATTGACAACTATACCTGAAACGTTAAAATAGATTTGTTCATTGGGCTTAATACATGTTTTACAATGCATTTACTTTAGAAGCTGAACAAGCTTCTAAATGAGCTGCAAGGAAATGATCAATGTAGCTAAACAGGTGTTAAACTAAAATAACATTTATTACAAGCACTGCTACTTTTGCTACATGTTAATACGCTCTCTGGAAACCACTTAAAAAATCACTAGACTTACTGTTAATATATTACAACTGCACCACATAGACACATGCCGGCTGCTGCCTCTCTCCCTCAATACGCAGCGTTTTCCCATATGAAGCTGGGAGGAAATGACAGTCCGTCACTTCCTCCCAGCATCCCTTACAACGGGGACCCAGTTGCACAATTAATTGGCCGCGGTGCTGTGTCCCTTTGCAGCAATGCCCATCGGTGGCCTTAGGGCCACCCGATGAGCAAATCACTGCGGAACCCCAATTTTGTTCTTGCGGAACACTAGGGTTCTGTGCGGAACACCAATTGTCAAACACTGCTCTATATTAATCTCTATGAAATATGTCGGCTTTAGAACGGGATACATTTAACGGGACACTCCAGGTATACTCTTAGCACCAGCACAACTCAAATACATTTGATAGGTTTGAGCCTCAAATTAATATTTTTTTTCTCCACATTCAAATTTCTTTCGTTTTTCAAAAACAAACAAACAAGTGTTGCAGCATGACTCCACCCTGCAGAAAATCACTGTCCCATTATTATTTATCATCATTCCCTTTAGTCCAGCAATGAAATTTTATAGAGATAATAAAAAGAACCATGAGAATGTGAATCCTGCACAGGTCTTACGTTCTACTTTCTACTACTGAAAAGTACCTAAATATTGCATTCACACTGCAGATAAAGCAATCCGCGCCATGACTTTATTTAAGTTAAAAGGCCTCAAAGAAGTCCTCCCTTCATTTTGACATATTACTTTTTTTTCCACTTGAGATTTTTATTGCATTTTTAAGAAAAAGTTACAATATGCGTGCACATTGTTTCAAATTTCACAGAGTTTCTCAGAAATAGCATTCCGGGGATAGACATGATACATACACATAAGAAAAAATGGTTGTCATAGTAAGTTGTGTCTCCTCTCCAACGAGAGTGCATTATTTTTTTCCAGCTCTGTGTTTAATCTTCTGGGCAGTTCAGCTGTCCTGAAATTCCACTTACCACCATGATGACATTCATGAGAAAAAACAAAAAAAACATGGAGTGCTTCAAATGGTGTGTGGTGGCCATTTTATCACCATATGTTTATCAAAGCTTTTTTTTTTTTTTTTTGATTTTTTTACACAGACATTGCTGTGAATTTTACAGGTCTAATGTGTGCTAGTTAAGAACGACGCCTCTGTTTAATGTCAGTGAACTCTCCAGAGTACAGGAATGTACAGTTTGTGTAGGTTTAACAGATTTATGAAAATCTATAGGATAAATTAGATGTGTAAACATGTATGTCCCACAGGAATAATGAGTCTGCTGCAGTTTTTTCATGCAATTCCGTACAAATAAATGATTTTGTTGTGGAAAGATAACTCAAATGATGTCCTCAATTTAATATTTTTGGATAAGCTTTTAAAGTTATTAAATATTTGTGGATAAACATTTAAAAATGATTTAGTATGGGTGGCGGGGCCCAGCTGCAATGATGGAAAGATGTGTTTCAGTATAGCTCCTCTCCTATACTGGATATAAACGCAAGTCTTCGCCCTATTCAGCAAGATTTTGACAGAATCCAGCTACTTACCTATGTCTAGACCAAGCTGAGCTTCACCGAAGGGTTCAAAGAACCAACAGGGGCATGTCAGCAGCACGTCTTGAATCATGCAGCCTAGATTGCACCGGGCGGGGGAGGCGGCTGATACCCCGGCCAAGAGGTGCCTATCAGCACTCAGGAATGGGAGGGTGCCCTGTTACCCCTTCTTGGACCGGCGGGGGTGATCCCCGGTCCATCCTCAGGAGGCTGCCTTAACTAACCTAGTGGGAAATCAGAGTGAAACCACGAAGGTGAACAAAAAAGCGAGCGACTCACCTAAGATGGCAGACAACGCGTGGTCCCCCGACAACACAGTGGAAACACACAACATCTTGTCCAGGCTGGACCGCACTTTTGTCAATTTCTGGCTCAAGTTGGAAAGCAAGCTGCAGCAACCGGTGGCTACTCACCTCACAGGCAAAGCCTTACTCCGCAACAGAAGCTGGCTGCACTGGCAATGAGAGGAGCCCCAACATGGCAGCAGAGCGGGAAGTGCTCCCTACTCCAGCACACAGCGGCACCAAAATGGGAGCTGTCAAGATCCGGCACTTGGACTCTCAACCTGTCAGGGGACCTTGTGGAAGCCATACTTATGAGGACTGTCTCCCTGACAAGGCCTTCCAGGTAACAGCTGGGCACGGCTATACGCATCACTTTGCTGCTCCTGCAGCTTCTGCCTGGGCCCACACGCCTGATGACTGCGGCACCGGCAGGTGGCTATGACAAGCCCCAGAGAGGCATTGGTTGAGCATACATGGGACTCCTGCCGGCTGGCACTGCTTCCCCTCTGATGCATAGTTTTACTTCCCTATGAGCAGATGTATGACTTTGCTTTTCCTGATGTTTATTTAGATGTCTTTTCTCCGATAATTCTTTTGTCTATCAGCATTAAGATTAGTATTTTTATTTTTCTGCATCTGGATAGTGTGCTTCAGATGTGCTCTTGGACATGTCTGCCTAGCCTGAGCCTTTCACAATAATCTAGTATACATTTTACTACTATGACCTACTTACATTTTTTTTTTTAAATGTGCAGACATTCAGATGTATGTTAAATTTGTATGGAGATTAATTTTGATACCCTCTGCAATGTCTTTGTTACCTTGTGAAATAAAGAATTAAAAAAAAATAAAAATTTGTATTTTGTAAAATATGTTATGATATATATATTTTTGATAATTTAATATTTAAAAAAAAAAATAGAAAAAAATATTAAATCATTTGAGAAGCTAAGCCAAAAATATTAAACCGAGTCCTATTTTAGGCCTCAATTTTTTGGGTGAAATCACATAATTATAGGTGTGTCAACAAGTTAGCATTATATTCTGAGGTATTGAATACTAGTGCATTTAGAAGGTTGTGGGGTACTGGGCCTGGCTTTAATAATAATCCAACTGCCCTAACCACAAGATTTGTTGGAAATCAAAAAGTCCCTTAAAATAAAAAAAATTCAATAAAACTTCAAGCAATAATTTTACTTAACTTTTTTATTTTTTCTCTTTTTTTTTTTACAATTTGTTTCACCTCAAATTCCCCTAACTCTGCCCTAACCTATCAATTTAACGCTGCAATATATCTTTAAAAGCTAACAATTAACCCCTTAAAGGGTAAATAAATGTACAGTCAATGTAGTGACTGCGGGAAATTGCAACTTTTACTTTGATTTGGTGACACAATGGGGAAAATGTATCAACGTGCCGCTGATACAAAGTGTTCATTTCTCTTTTTCCCACCAATGTAAGTCAGCCTTTTATTTAGACAGGGAAATGTCAGTGAAAACTGGCCGATTTTACTATGAAGAAAACTGACACTTATTAGATCACTTTAATAAAAATGATAAAGAATAATGACGGAATTTAACTGTCAGTTTTCAGAACACTGATAAATCTCCCTCAATGTAGATCTAATCTCTCTCTCCTTTGCACTAGTATAGTGGAGGCAGAGAGAGATTAACCAAATCGGAAGCTCATTGTTTACTAACATTGGATTTTCTTGTAATTAATGTTATTATGTTGATTGGCTCTCAGCACTATCGTTGCCCATGTCAGCTGGGCATTGGCTTTTGCCACTATTGATAGCTTTGTACAGCAGAGAACTGACAATTTAAGTACCATTCCCAGAATCCCTTTCTGTGCGCAAACCACAGTTAAAGGGAAAAACTCTGTGTTCTCTGAAAACACGGCAAAGCCATTTTTGCAGGAGTTTTGCAAGAAATGCGGACTTTAAATGCTAGTATCTGTTTTTTTTTTTAAATTTCTTTGTAATGTCTTCTAAATATAATTTGAAAAATATAACTGTGTAAAAATTTAACAATGTGACCATGGGCTACATGTGTAGGGATTAATAAGGAAAAAAAACAAAACAGCTTGTGTAACTGTTACCATATATTAAACACATACTATTTATAATTGATTATTGGGGAATCTATTTTCATTAAGAAACTCTCTATGCAATGCATTAAAACAGGGATTCCCCAACCCAGTCGTCAAGTACCCCCTAACAGTCCGGGATTTAGGGATTACCCAGTTGTGTCTAAGGTGGTTTTAGAAAAAGGAAAAAAAAAAAACACTTTAGACACAACAGGGTAATCATCCTGGACTGGGTTGGGAACATCTGCGTTAAAATATAATTTGTTAAATCCAGCACTGAGCATATCCTTTAACTTAAAATAACAATGAATAGAAAGTTTGTGCATTTATTGCTCTGTCCATGGTGCTGAATGAATAATACAGCCGTATAGGGAAGGGAAATCACTAGCTACTGAAAAAAAACCCCTATAATTTAATAACTATTTTATACCAAGTTTAAAAATCAATTATCTATATGTACATATTTCCTAAACATCACAGAGCTTTGTTTCTGAAGTCTGTACCATTAAATGGTTACTTTAAGTACCATGAACACTTCAGTGATTTGATGTGGTCATGCTGCCTGGAGTCTGTATGTGCAGTATATCAAAATCAAACACTGCACATACAGAGACTAACCGCTGTACTGCCGGAGGTGTAACTCCACCACTGATAGCGTCTTTGGGTGAGTAGTCAGCCTGCTTCAGGCTGACCAACATCAATTCTGAGCTAACTTCATTGTACAGAATGACAGTCATTGGCTGGAGTGGTTAGCTGATGCTTTAAGCCAATGGATGTTGACCACTGCAACTTACAGCTTTGGCAGCTCTGCAGAAACTAGAAGCACTTCACTGGACTACAAGGGAACGCCGGAGCCGGGTGGGGACACAGTTAAGGGGACAAACCATTACCAAATGGTTTGATCGCTCTCCAGTAGTTTGGCTATTAACGTGGCTTTCGGTTTATTGCTTGCCACTATGCCTCGAGCTTCCAGCAGTTCGTATCTATGCGCCATTCACCACTTGTTTCGATTCGGTACATCCGTTCGGGAGAAAATCCCGCCGCTTGCCACCAGTGTAAAGGATCCTTCTATTCGTGCACTGCTGATCATTGTAGCTTCTCCCGAAATCCCGATGAAACAGAGTGATTATAGCTTCCAATCCCCCAAACATGAGTCGAGACTTCATGAAGGGGTAAAACGATCTGATTTACTGGGGGCTACCTGCCCGGTATTTATACAGGTCTCCCACCTGGTGGACACTCCCCTAGGGGACCAGATGGAAGACTGGGACAAAAGAATTACAGTAGCCAATCGCAGTGGCTATAACATAAGCACTCCCCTTTTACATAGGTCACTCCCTCCTTTCCATCCTGGAGATAATTAACTTAAGGTAGTAAAGAGAGCCTTAATGATCTCCAGGTAGAAAGAAACATGGCTTTTCCCATATTCACAAAACAGCATAAAAATCTATAACTTATATTTTACTGAACATAAACTTTAAGTCCCACATACCCCCAGATAGCTTGGATCTGAGTGCATATTCTAGGCGAATAGCGCTCAGATCCCACGAACACAGTTCTCAATAATGTCGAATAAGGTTTGGACTTCACTGGCCGTTCGCGTGTTTGTATCCGACAAAGAGTTCCACGCTGTAGCTATCTGGGGTCGGTCTCTTTCGCATAAATCCAAGTCCCGAACGGTGCAATGTCTCCGGCATTCGTGTGTTTTCAACCGTATGAACGAGGACCTTGGTAAGTATCAGCGGTGTTTGGCAGAATAAGTATCCGAAAAAGAGTTCCAGGGCATCGCCGCCATTTACCGCTGGGCGTTCAACGATTTAAAATGGCGACTGCCACGTGTTCGGCAGACGAACGCGGACCACCAAGCTGTTCCCCAATTACTCTGTGGTTAACTGCAAAGTCTGGGTGGTTAATGGGCGCCACACGACCTCAGTAGGAGGTCGGGTGATTCGGCAGTTTATTCGTTTTATTGCTATTTGCACGAAATCAACCCATAAACGTCTAAATAACCAAACAGTCTGGTTTGCATAGTCTGTTTAACAAGGGATTTCGTAACAACATTTATTAGGTGTTTTGCAGGTGATGCCTATTGCTCTTTAAGAGATATTTTATATTCTCCTCTCCTATCTTGAGGACATCACTGATAACAGTAAACACAGCAATGTAGCCTTGAGTGAGGGGAACTAAATATCTTTTGAACTTAAAGGAACACTCCCCCCCATAACAACGTCTGTGAAGTTGTTTTGGTGGCAGTAGTGCCTGAGTGAAATCTTACCTTTAGAGGTTAATCCCTTTTCAAAGTTTTAACACTGCAGTTGTTCCACCAGGGAATGACAGCTTTGCCTTGTCTATCTTCCCCCTGACCTCTGATATTCTGTTGTGGTATACATCTCTCATCAGGCTCAGCCAAACCCTATGGGAATTGTCACTTACATGTTCTTCAAATCCTCAATCAACTCAGTGCAAAAAAATGACAATTTTAAACTTGATTTTAGTTTTGTTTTTTCTGCAAACTCTAAATGCAAATTGTTCTCAAAACACTATTTTTTGATGTTACCTGATAGTCATGATTATCGTTGTGTCTGATTAAACTTGGCAGGCAAAATTACACAATTCGAGAGAAAGGAACGCATCAACTGTAGACAGGAAGATTGCAGCTGGGACTTGAAAAATGTTCTACTTATTTATTTTTAACAAACGTTTTCATTTTCATGAAAAATACTAAACAATTAATGTATACATAACTTTACTTTTCGATGATAAAAATCTTTCTCATTATTTAGTAAACTGTTTTTTTTTGTTTTTTTTTCACAAGTTTTACAAAATGTGCCACTTTTATTTTAAAGACATATAGAGGGCCAGTAATGTCTTGACACAAACTGGTGTTACATGAAGCCTCTTGCGCATTTTGCTTTTCAAGATCTGTATAAGTCATGTCTCTGTGTGTTTCACCATGCAGCTGAAAACATTACTGTTCTGCAGGAACAGTAATCTTTACATTGCAGGGTTAAAATGCCTCTAGTGGCATTCTTCCTGACAGCCACTAGAGGTGCCTCTGCCCTAATGGCCTAGTTAAACTCGGCTATTTCAATCAGATGGTCTCATAAAGATCATTTGATTGGTGCAGTGTTGCGTTTTGTCGTACATGCGCACTGGCATCCCAACGTTTCCCTATGGGAAAAAATTGGATTGGTTGAGATCATCTACACTGATAATCCTCTGCCAAATAGCGGCGGGATGAAGACCAGCACGGTGGCAGCTGAAATGTAAGTAAATATCACCTTTCAAACCCTCACGTGGCTGGCAGGACACTCAAATAGGCAGTTTGAAAAACTATAGT